AGAGGTATTCAACTGATGCTCCATGCTACACTGGATTTCACCTGCAGCGAGGACTTCACGGCCTGCTATAGGGTCTGTTTTGGTATGTCTGTCACCCAGAGTTAACATAGCCTAGCTGCTTGCACTGGAAATATCCACAGATGCTGTATTCTGTTGCAATAGTGTCTGATGACCTTACTACTTTTCTGAGTGGTGTTGGTGGCCATAAAATGAAAAGGTGGGTAAAGCCACGGTACACATTTTTCCCTGGGGCATCATCCATGGAACATAGAAGAGTGGAACTTTCTACCTACAGCAGAATTGACTTCTCCCCCACAGCGCTGTATTTTTTTTGTGCTTTTTACATCCAAAAATTTCATCGCTCGCCCAGCTACAATTAAGTTGTTTAAAAAAATGTGTTTCAATGGTAGAAAAAAATTGTGTGTGTCTGAAAACTATAGGTACCGAGGGTACTTATAATTTTTTTAAAGTACTTTGTACAAAAAAGGTTGAGAAACGCTGTCTTAGACAAATTCTAGCTCAAATAATTACAATCTGCCACTTTATTCCCCCTTGCAGATTCAGTTGGATGTGCATTACCCATTCAATTCATGTTCTATTCTTTAAAAATATTAAATTATTACTATTGAATTATTACTTTTACTACCACAGCAGCTTCAGCCCCAGTCAAAACTGGGCCCATTGTGCTAAGTGCTGCATAAACATGTAGAAAGGAGACAGTTCCTGCCCCCAAAGAACTAATAAAATGTTTACTTTTTCTGGTGACAGGGCTCTAGTTTATGAAAGGCGTGACCCTGCAGTTCTTACTCAGGCTAAATTCCCATCAGGTGAAAGCGTTTTACCTGCGCAAGGAGGATCATAGGAGCAGATCCAAAATTATAGGTATATCAAGCTTTTAAATTACAGTTGAATACAAGAACAAAGACACTTGGGTGATTTGGTCCTTTTGAGGTCTTGAATACATTGAAAAGCCCCAAAATACCATGAAACCAATACTTTCAGGAATTTCACAGTAATGCCAAGAAACAGAATGTACTCATTGTGACTAATACATTAAAATACTGAAAATAAATTCTAACAGATTAAACAAGTCTTGTAGCAACTGAAAGGTATAGTTAAATCATTCCAAAACTACTCAGGCTTAAGAGGATGGCAATCTTCCCTATTAATAATAAGAACATAAGCTGGATAAGTAGACTGGGAAACCTATAAATTATAGTCAATATCAGTAAGTAGAATATTGTTTATAATATATTTTTAATTAAAAATTATGTTAAAGCCA